GCACTGGACAGGAATAAAAATATAGAAAGGGGAACCAGCAGATGGTGCAATAGTTAAGTCACTGGATTCCCACACAATTGACCATGGTTCGAGTCCCAGATTTGGCAGCTTAAAACTCATACTAACCAGCAGTTAGTGTAATGGCTATGTCACTGGACTCCCATGTAGTTGACCACAGTTCGCCTCCTGGACCCGGTGGCTTAAAACTCACGCCAGACGCATGTGCGTGCATGCCCAAGATCCCGAGAGGAGAACGGAGGATAAGGGATTGCGGCATGGCCATCCCCCCTGGGGGGTGATTTCTCACTTTCTGTCTCTCTGTCTCTCTCTGTCTGTCTGGCGAGCATACGCGCCCTATAGCAAAAACCTCTCCAAAAAAAAAACTCATGCTGGGTGTTCATGCGTGCATGCCTGCCCAAAATCTTGAGAATAGAATAAAGGAGAAGGGATTGAGGCATGGCCATCCCCCCAGGGGGCTATTTCTCATTTTCTATCTCTCTATCTCTCTATATCTCTCTGGTGAGCACACAAAACTAATAGCAAAAATCTCTCAAAAAATATATAGAGAGAAAGGAAATGTGAGTTGTTTTTTGGGTTTTTTTTTTTGAGAGAGATTTTCACTGTAGGGCGCGTGCGCTCGCCAGACAGACAGAGAGAGACATAGAGACAGAAAGCAAGAAATCACCCCCCGGGGGGATGGTCACACCGCAATCCCTTCTCCTCCATTCTCCTCTCGGGATCTTGGGCACGCACACACACGCGCCCGGCGTGAGTTTTAAGCCACCGGGTCTGGGACACGAACCGCGGTCGACTACGTGGGAAGCCAGCGACATAGCCATTACGCTAACTGCTGGTTCCCCTTGGGTTTTTTTTTCATTGATTTTTGACTACATTCCTGAGATTCTGAAGAACAATCACTTCTGGGGATTAATCAATTAGGAATTTAAGTAAATATTCATCAGGAATGTATTCTTTACATTAAAAGGATCAAAGAGAGGAGATGGAAAATATAAAATGATAAAGACCAATTTAAAAAATCTAGGAATTAGGAATAAGAAGGGAGGAAGAGAATTATTGTTTGTGCTGTTAAATTAAGCTATGAGAGAATGTTATCAATAATAATGTGGTCGAAATACACATTCCATACTCAAGCCTACCAGTTTTTACCCAAAAGAGGAAATCTTTGATAAAATTTGGTAAAAACTTCATCATTAGAATTGTGGGGGGCAAAAGCATGATTACACTGTGGTTTAAAAAAAAAAAAGAATGTGACTAACAAAAGGAAAATTATTATGAACCAGACACTAAAATAGTAAGTTTGCATTTCATAGTTATTTGGGCTAGGCACTTTTTTAAAAATATATAGATAAAAAGAGATATACTGATATTTACATCTGTAAATTAATCTTTTTCAAAAATAGTATATTAAAAATGTTTCTTTTATTTCCACTTTATAGCTGACAAAACTGGATCACAGTGATGAAAACAGTGCTAGGGAATGTGAATAGTTTTTAAACCTGATGTTTTCACACTTAATGACATTGGGACCAAGATGTAGGAATGTGTTTTGGTCCCAGCTAAACAGGTTGAAAGAGAAAAACAACTCTTACGGTGTCATACAACCCTAATATAAGAGTTACATCCATCTCAACATTCTAGGCAAAAATATGTCATCAAAACACTGTGTCTGGGGCCAGGAGGTGGTATGTCAGTTAAGTCACTGAACTTCTACATGGATGACTGCAGTTCAAGTCCCAGACCTGATGGCTTGAAAATCATGCTGCATACATGTGTATGTGTGCCCAAGATCCCAGGAGGAAAAAGGAGGAGAATGGATTGCAGCATGGCCATCCTCCCTAATGGAGGTGGTGATTTCTCACTTTCCTCTCGCTGTCTCTGTCTCTTTGGCAAGCACACGCACTCTCAGAAAAAAATTTCTAAAAACAAGAAA